AGTTTCATCATTAATTAAAAAACGAAATCTCATTTAGAAAAGGCTGCATTGGACCTCGCCTACCCATGCAAGCTAACGCAATGGCAATGTGTCCATAAAGCATTATCTTTTTCTTTTTTTTCAAATGTTGGGTTCATCAATCTCTGAGATCCCACGAGCAGGCTTTCCGAAGAGAGATTGTAAATGTAATACCCAGAATTTTTATTATTGTTATTATTATTTAATTCCTTGAGGATGTGTATGCAATAAGGTGGAAATATGAGGACTTATGTGTATAATGGTGGTAAAGATGAAGGAGTGGCTTGTAAAATGTGCAAAACTTAACCTAAAAATTTAAGAATAGCGTGTTATTCTGCAGAACCGGGGAAGGGGCTGGGAGTTTCCTCACTCAAAAAAAAACAAAAACAGTAAGGTGACTTCACAAATTGGGGAAAATAGTTGGTAAGTCCATTCAAGGGAAAATGCTCTAAATAATTCTTGGCCTCTAAATAATTCTTGGCTTTGCATTCATTGGTGCCAGATCAATAACTAAGGTAAGTGGCAATACCCTTTCTAGAAATGCTGAAAAAATAAATTATTCTTTTACCTGTTATTGTGAAATTAATTTATTTGAAATCTAAGTATTTTTTTTAATTATTTCCTTGTGGTATTTCTTTTGGAATGCATTTACTTATTTATGTGTATATTTATTTATCATTTTCTTTCTTTAATAAATGTGGATTAAGCATGTTGGTTGTGAACTATTTGAGATGAGGGGATTTGATAGTTTTGTGATATAGAGACTTTGGAATTGAAGATTTATTTGAAATTAAGGTAACTTGTTTTACATGGAGTCGTTGGACAACCCTGCCTCGAGGGTTTCTGATGGTAACTATTTGAGTCGGAAATCATTTTAGATTATCTTGCTGTAATAGATTATCAAACGGTAAACCGTGTTAAATTATCGAACAATAAACTATGTTAGACCATTGAACAGTTCATTTTTTTTATTTATTTTGTCGTAATAGAGTATCGAACGATCAGTTGATATTCATGTGCCATAGCCATGTGGGATTGAGAAATTGTTTTACTGATGAGTTCTTTATATTTGTTTCATCCAATATAATTTCATTATTTATTTTCTATCACCTTTTAATTAAGATAATTATGCTTGGTCGTACTAGTTGGGTATGCTACTTATTGGGCATGTGGAGCTCACATTGTTTTATTTAATGTTTTCAGATACTAAACATGGAGCATCTGGGATGCAGGGGAAATAGAGAGCCACCTTCGAAATAGATTATTTACTTCTTTCCTATTATGCTTAGCATTTGTGGACATTTAAAATAAAGAGATTTTAATTTAGTGCTAGTTATACTTGAGATTCTTGGTGTAGAATTGGCTTTAGATGATGGTGTATTCTTGACATATATATATTTCTCTATTAATTTTCTTAAAAGTGAAGAATAAATTTTATGCAAAGCTACGAGAATGAATTTTAGAGACTGATTTAACCTTACATGCTTTTAGGGTCACTCCTAAAGGTACGTGCCATTGTCATGTCTTAACCCCTAAGTTGGGGCATGACAGTATACGAAAAGAAGATCGGGGCTGTTAAACGACCCCAGAAGTAGCTGTTTGGTCACCTTAAAGTTATGGGTGCCAATTGCGCGGAAGGTTCAGTAACTGTTGAGGAAACCGCGTTGGAGGAGTTTAGTACTCTTGCTGCTTCTTGTAAGTTTCTCTATCTTTTACAATCCATCATGCAAATTTCATACTGATTTCCTTATGAATATTCTCTGATGCGATGCTGGAATCTTGTACCCTCTGCAATTCTCAATACTTTACATATTTTACTGCATATTAATGTTTTGGGTTTCCCTTAGAGAAAGTCTAGGAACAATTAGATGATGGGTTATGCAATAAATCCACCAACTTTGTGATTCAAGCTTCCCGCCATGGCTATTAATTTGTTTATGTTGTCTCCTGACCCAATTATCCCTCTCCTGAGCAAGCAGTTCTTTTATGTAATCTATAAATTGTAAAGCTGAAATCTTTAATTTAATTCATGTTTTGGTTGTTACCGTAAATGAGGTTGACACTAACACCTTGTTTGCTACAAAAAAAAAAAAGAAAAGAAAGGAGATTCTGCTCTTGCTTTCTTCTTTGTAATTAGATTAGTACCAGAAAAGATGTATTATTGTACACTACCTGCTTTGTCATATTTCACTTTCAAAAG